TGTCATGTGTAACGCAGGCCTCTGTACTTGGAAGTTGAAACTTGGTTGACGCACAAGGACAAATGATGTCCAGAGTTCAAGTGAGCAGACAATGAGAGTTATTTTTAAATGCCCCAATTTGGATTGCAGGTCATGTGGAAAGTTTGGAATCTACACTTCCTTGTTGACTTTGTGACTCTGGGTGACAGGTGCTGAAGAGCAGCTGTTTGACTTGATCGGACAAGCGGGATGGGAGGAGGTGTGAGGAGCAGGGTCAGGAGTGGGAATGGGTATTGCCAGTGTCCACGAGGTGGAAAACACTTCCCTTTAGTTCTTATGTAATTTCTCCAAAGTCCAAAGGAAGCACAGAATACCCCCCCACACACACACACACACTCTTTTATACCACCCCAAACAGACTTGGGGAGTGTAGGTGACTCCATCAGACTTCTCACAGCTGCTCAGTGGCAGGTCTGACTCAGAAGTCCATATCCCCTTCTCGGCTGTATGACGTGGTCTCGCCACATGCTTCCCTGTGTTGGATGCATGTGTGGCTCCATGTGAGCCTTACCCTGAGATATTCAGAAGGAAGAAATATCTTCTTTCCCATGTCTTCTGTAAGTTTCACTCATGTCCTAGCTTGTGCCAAGCTGGCCTTGGCCAATGACCCAGAAAATCCAACTCCCATAGCTTTATTTACTTACTTTTTTAAGATAAGAGATGGGGCAGGCAGAGGAGAAGGCAGGACACTCAGAAGCCAAGCCTATTTCCCAAAAGCAAACTTCTCTGGATTAAGAAATGGGACAAAGGGGGCTCTTCTGAATGCACAGGAACTCACCTGGGCTGTATCGATGATTAAGCTGCAAGCTCTGAGGTTGAATGAACCTTATTGCAGCATCCCCTGATGAGGAAAAACAACCCAGATACACCCCGGATCTATAAATGAAATTTATGTGGAATGAGAGGCAGCTAGCCCCTCGCCTCTCCAAGCACAGTTCCCAAGCACAGATCCCGGGGTTTTCAGCCCTGGGCCAGCTCCAGGTCAGCTCCCTGACAAAGCCCTGTCATTCTAGGCTCAGCCTTGGCACAAGCCACCACAGCCCTCTCCTTCTCTCCATTTCTTCGGGAGGACGGTAGGTGTCGGGCAGGGGCTCCTCACTTCCAGAGACTGTCTTCACATATATGTGGCCTTCCTGGGCACCTCGTGGGTCCATCTCATGGGTCGGTGACCGCCTAGGATTCTTGAGAACACAAACAGATTTTTAAAATAATATAGTAGAGACTTCAGCTTCTGGCCAAGGTGGGCTCAGCTATATGGACCCTGCCAATGGAAACAGCCAGGATCAGACCAAACATGTGAAACAATGGTTGGCAAGACAGTGGGGATCAGGGGACTAAAGACACCGGCTCTTGAGGGGCAGGAAGTGAGTGGCGTCTACAGTTGCCTGAACTTATTGCCTTCAAGGGTTTTTTCATGCCACACAACTCTAATTATTGTTAGCACGGTGTCTCCTTCCTTTAACTTTTAATCCATTCAAGTCTTTATATTCATAAAGTGCGATTCTGTAGAGTTTTATAAAGTTGGCTATTGCTTTTATAGCCAAACTGACTCTCTCTGCCTTGTAATTGAAGCTCTCTAGGTCATCTACATCTAATATGATCATTGTTATAGTTGGGCTCAAACCCACTATCTTGCTTTTTTTTTTTCATTTTTTTCTACATGTTCATTCTTTTAAAAGATTTGTTTATTATGTATACAGTGTTCTGCCTGCATGTATACCTGCATGCCAGAAGAGGGCACCAAATTCCATTGTAGATAGTTGTGAGCCACCACGTGGTTGTTGGGAATTGAACTCAGAACCTCTGGAAGAGCAGTCAATGCTCCTGACTGCTGAACCATCTCTCCAGGCCTACATGTTCATTTTTAAATTACTTTTCTCATGTTTTATTCCCTATAAACTTTATAATCTTACTAAGTTTATTGAGAAATGTGTTGGGATTTATATCACAATTATGTTTATTTAAAAAATTAAATTAATTTGTATGTGTATGAATGTTTTCCCTAAATGCACATGCCTGGTATCTGAGGAGGTCAGAAGAGTGCAGATGCCCTAGAATTAGCATAGACCATTGTGAGTTGCCATACGGGTGCTGGAAACTGAACCCAGGTCTTCTGAAAAAGCAGTAAGTACTTTTAACTGCTCTCTAGCTCCATAATTACACTGATTATACAGATAATAAAAGTACCATAAATTGACATCTTTATGATGGTGAGTCATCCTTTCCAGGACTATAGTATATAACCATCATAACTTAGCTATTGTTGAATTCTTTTATTGAAGATTTATTTTTTCCATAATAGGATTAGACATTTCATCGAATTTGTTTTCAGCATTCTATGTATTTTATTACCATTGCAAAATAGGATTTTATAAAATTCTTTTTCTAACTGGTAGCTGTTGGTATTAATAAATGCACATGATTTTGAATTTTTTTTTTCAGTGTTGGAAATGAAACCTAGGCCTCTTTGCTCATGTTCAGTTAGTGCTCTACCTCAGAACTAAATCCTGTGTATTGTTTCTATGTGCAATAAACTTATTCAACTATTTGGCTAATTCTAATAACCTATCTGTAGGTTATTGTTTTTTTTTTCTATGTTGACAGTCACATATGATCTGCAAATTATGATAATTTTACTTCTTCCTTTTCAAGTTATGTTTGCCTTTTTTTATTCCATTGTGTTGGTTAGGACCTAAAGTCCAGTGCTGCATACAAGTGATGAACATTTTTTATTTGTTTCTGATCTTAATGACATATTCCCTTAGGTACCCCTTTTCAAGTTAAGTTCCTATTTTAGCTCACCTTTGAAAGTCCATTTCAAGGGCTGGGGAGAAATGGTGCCTACTATGCAAGTGTAAAGATCTGAGTTCGAATCCTCAGAACCCACATAAAAACCAGATGTGTAGTGCTAGCGTCTGTAATGCCAGCACTCTTACGGAAGATGTGGGGCAGAGTCAGGAGACTCCCTGGAAGCTTGTGGGCCAGCATCCACAGAGGAAAACAGCAAAGAAATTCTTCTTAAACAAGTTGGGAAGTAAGGACAAACACCTAAATGTCCTCTGACCTCCACACACGTTCCATGGTACACATAGTCAATCGTATGTGTGCACACACATACATTGTGTACACACAAACACACGCACACACTAAATAAATAAGAATAAATAGCTCTTATCACAAGTGACCTACCTTTCTAAAAACCCTTTTGTCCTATTAACATGGCCATATAGCTGGTTCTTTTGTCCATTCAATAAATTACATTAAGTTGATTTTCTGTTTTGCTGTTATTTGAATTTTCCATGCTGGGCATAGAACCCAGTGATTTCTATGTGTTAGGTCAGAATTTTACCATTGATCTACAGTCCACACCCTGTTTGCTAATGTCAAATCAACTGTGAACTCCTGTCTGATCGGTAAAGACACCCGGATCACCTCCTTTGTGCTTTCACTGTGTTCCATTGCCTCCTTTCCAGGAGTCAGATGGCACCTTTGTGCAGTCTAGGCTTAAAAATCCTTAGCTGGCTACACTTTCTGTCACATGTGGGGATTAGAATTAAAAGTTCTTACCTCAGATATTTTGGGATTGTCATAGAGTTCTGAAATTTCACATGGTCTCTCACTTTCCTAAAACAGTCAAAAATAAATAAGCAACAAATGAAAGACCATAGCTGTAACCATTCAAATCATCATGTTTTAAACTGCAGTGCCCATTAGGCTTGCCAGAAGGTTTTAAAACAAAACAAACACGCAGCTAAGCAAAGCTAAGCGACCTCGAGCAAAATGAACAGACTCAAGAAGCATCATTGTTCAAAAACAGTCCAGGGCTGGCACTGTGACGGAGTGAGCAGGAGGAGATGGAACAGGATTGGCTGTGAGGTGATAACTGGGTTCTCCATACTCTACTTCCACATTGCCATATGTTTACAGTTACAGTAATCCCCCTGTACACTTGCAGTGGCTTCAGTGACCAGTAGCCAACTGGGATCTTAAGATGTTAATGGGAATCCCAGAAGCCAAAAGTTATAAGCTTCTATTTTGAATAGCGTGAGAAGCCTTGAAAGACCCTACTTCATCCCATCCTCTTGCTCTTTGTATCCATGCTGTATATGATACCAGCCCTGTGATAGCTGACAGAGACATTTATTGTTCTATTTTAAGTCATTCAGTTTTATTATTCACTAAGAATGTTAATCTTTCAGTGTGACTAATTTATTATTATCATATTTTTGTGCATAGTGTCCAATAGGGACATTGGGTTCAACATGCTTCACAGCATCAAGTGACTACTACATGGTCTTGAAGTGTATCCTTTGTGAATGATGTTTGGGGGGACTATATACATAATAAAAATTTGTGTTGGGGTGGGAGTGCAGCTTAGTGGTGGAGTACTTGCCTAGCATGTGGGAAAAGTCCCGTACCTGATCCCCACCACCATAAACAATCAAACAAAGACCCCCCCCAAATGTTTTTAGAACAATTACATAGTTCTATCCCCAGAAATTCTTTGGTTTTTTTGTTTTGTTTTGTGTGTTTGGATGCCTGCTTTCTATCTTTCCATATTGATATCTACCAGTATGAAAACAACCGTGATTGTTTATAAATAGAGATTGAAGTTAGAACTCAGAGGCTATGTGGCACAGGTAGAGCACATTGTGAAACTTTGTTGGATGCGGATCTAGGTGACCATGCATGGTCCCCAGGGCAAATCTGATTCAAGTATGGGATGTCAGGGGGTCCATGCACATTCTCTTGTAAGTCCTGCCTATTTAGACACAGGAACAGACAAGGTCTCAATGTATCCCTTCCATAGACACCTCAGCACTTCTTTGTCTCTGTTCCCCTCACATTCTTACTGTCCAATGATGAAACCTGTGCCTTTTCCTCCCTCAGTACGGATAACACCCCACGGTACAGACATGTTTGCATGGCACCAATAACCTATTCCTATATTTTGCCACCAAATGTCATCTTATTGCTAGAGATTTGTTCAAGTGATCAGAGTCATGTGCAAGTCAGCTTTGCCTGAATCTACCTACGAAAGACATTTCAGTCCAGCAACGTCTACTACCTTGTCCTCAGAAACAACACAGGTTCTGGGTTCTGACATGCCTAGCCCGGACAGAGGCCAGTTCACTGAGAAACTGAGATTCAAGCTACACATTCACAACCAAAGAAGCAGTGATCACCTCAATGGGCTCATCGATGCTTCTTCTTCGCTGAATCAAGGTAAACAGCAAGGCCACCAGCAGGGCTGTGGCCAGCAGGGAGGGGATTCCGGCCGCTAGTCCAATAGAGGGACCACAGTCCTGAACAGAGAAATAAAACAGAGTCAGGGAGGCCCAGATTCTTCAAGAATAGAGGATGCATCTGGTGATTAAAAATAAACAGTGACAAAAACATGCATGGGCTCTGGATGCATTGGGGAAATGAAATATTTCCAAAGATATTTGTGATGTATATAATTGGTGAATTGCTTTCCTGGGATCTAATTTATATAGTTTACATGCATTTGGAATGCTGATCATCTACTAGAAAAAGGACAACTGATTTAAAGCAGGAGTCCCAGGGAACAGAAGCACGAACATCCTTTCGGAAGAAGAAAAACCAAGGTACAGTTCACAGCCACAGTTAGATGCCATGTTCACCTCCAGTCTGAAAAAGTGCCCTCTGTTTTTTGTACTGTGGACAGTGGCTAATGTAGAGACTCACAACTAGTCAAAGTGCAGAGAGCAAGGGTCTGGGGTGTGCTCCCTTGGGAAGAGGATCTCTTTATTTTGCCTCCTCCCTAAGGCTCAAGGGATGTTTCGGAAGAGTAGGGAGGAGAGGAAATTGAGGAAGACTAGGGCAAAACAGCTCTTCTGCTCATGACCGGAGCATCCCACGCATGAACTCACAGCAGCTGAGGATGCCTGCACAAGACCAAGCCAGTCAACAGTCTAGCATGGATCAGGGACACTGTAGATAGGTTCTGTCTGGTTTCCAACATACAGATGCAAACACAGGTATGGATTCTTATGCCTGGTTGCTTTTCTCCATGCTCTGTGAATTTGCCTGTGCATATGCATGTATTTTAATGTTTGTTTATTTATGTGCACGTGTATGTGTGTGTGTGTGTGTGTGTGTGTGTGTGTGTGTGTGTGTGCACCTCAGTCTGCAGAGGTCAGAAGAGGGCATAAGATCCTTAAGAACTGGGTTACAGGTCGTTGTGAGCTATTGTGTTGGTACTAGGAACCAAACAGAGATCTTATGTAAGCACTTAACTGCTGAGCCATCTCTCTGGCCCCAGGGCCTGTGGTTTTACACTCTCTCTCTTGCTTTTGAGCAGCGGTGGTTATAGGAATAATTACTGAGTCTAGTTCTGGGCTTGGCAACAGTTCATATGTCAAACTTCAATCCACAAAACAAATACAGGAGATTCGGAGAGCATTTGCCCCCTCACAGATGACAAAACCAAGGCTTGGTCATTGAAGTGGACACTTACATCGCCTTTGGCACTCGTGACAACTGGAGAGGACGTCTGTGAGGAAAAAGAGTATGTGATGTAAGAAAACAAAATCTGTAGCGCGTACACCATGCAAAAAGTCCTGCCGATGGTAGGGTCACCTTTGCCCTAAATGACTAACAACAGCAACGGCAGAGTCTTGTGTGAGTGTTTCCAAAGTAAGAATTAGAGTGAAATTAGGCTATGAGGAAACAAATTCCTGTAATTTCAGATTTGGAAGGCAGAGATGGGATTCCTAAAGCAAACTGGCTAGCAAGACTAGTCATAGCCATGTCAGGGAGTTCTGGGTGTGACAGAGAGACCCTGCATCGATGAATAAGGTGGAAGAGACATGGAGGATGATTCCTAATGTCAACCGTGGGCCTCCACATGCACATACATGTGTGCATACACACACACATGCAAAAGATGCACACACATGAATGCACACCACATACACATGTATGAAAATGGGAAAAGGAAATAGGGACAATAATGGCTACCTCTGGGGGTTTTAGGGATCTCAGGAGCACCACAGTCATGACCTCATGTTCACTGGTCAGGTCTATTTTTATTTAACCCTCTCTGTGATCTTTTTGTTGTTGTTGTTGTTGTTGTTTTTTGAGACAGGGTTTCTCTGTGTTGTTTTGGTGTCTGTCCTGGATCTCACTCTGTAGACCAGGCTGGCCTCGAACTCACAGAGATCTGCCTGGCTCTGCCTCCCGAATGCTGGGATTAAAGGCGTGCACCACCACCGCCCAGCCCCTCTCTACAGTCTTGACGGCCGCAATGGTGTCACCAGGCTTTCTGTGGTTAGCATCTCCGAGGTAGGTAAAGCAGACCTCAGAGAACTCACACAACTCAGGACCACATTTGCACGGATGAATCTGACCTGAACTTGAGCATTTGACCTTCAGGACAGACCTCTTTCCTCGTGAGCTCCCATCAGGGATGGTGGTGGTGTTGCCTGCTGCTCCTTAGATGGCTCTTTTCACATAAACACGACCCTACACACTCTCAGATCACGGCCCTGCATCTGTGTAAAGTATTGTCCTGCTCCGCCTCCTTCAGCAGATCCTACCGCTGTGTGCCACCACAACCGGCAAGTATTGTTTTTCTGAGGATGGCAGGAAGAACTGACCATTGTTTCAGGGAAGGTGTTCTGTCTTCAAAGTACAGAAATTTACTCAGGCTGGCTAGGGCAAGACATATCAGGCATAGTGGCTACACGCCTTTAATCTCAGCACTTGGAAGACAGAGGCAGAGGGACCTTCAGTTCAAGGCTATTCTGGGCAACGGGCAAGATCCAGTTTCTTGGAAACATTTTGTAAGGCAGTTAACAGCCAGAAGCAGAGGTAACTAGTGGAGCCGGGGTGGGGGTGAGAAGCTGGCTTCTCTAGGGCCTGGAGGTGGGGAAGGGAGCTTGGGTGAGGCTTCCCTCTCTCCAGCTCTCCTAGACAGCATGGCTGCCTTCCTGTTTACTTCCTGCTTCTCCTGATGGGATTTCTGCTCTCATGAGGACCTGTTAATTCCACATCTAATGCTTGTGGAGCATCCAGTGTGTGCCAGGCTGTCCAAACCCTTTTCCCATATTACCTGACCGGGCACCGAATGAAGATGGACCAACATGGCCTCCATTTTACAGATGAGAAGAGTAAGGCACAGGGAAGGAAAGTGACTGGTGTAAGGGAACACAGCCCTGGCTTACGGACATAACAATAACCTTACCCACCGAAAATACTCATTCTCGATCGGCCCAATCACTCTCTTCCCAGACTCTGCACTTAGGAAGTAATCTCAAATACAGATGCAACCAGACATAGCGGCGCATGCACTGAGGAGGTGGAAGTAGGGCCATTGCAGGTTCACGGCCATCAGAGCTACCCTGGGAGCCCTTGTCTCAAAAAGGAAACTACGGACAAGTCTTCTCTATAATGATGTTTATCACAGTTACTCTCGTCTGGAACTCATCACACAAAACAAGTCACTTGGAGAAATAACGTGGGACTATCCTCAGTTGGTTAGAAAGACTGGTGGAAAATATTTAAGCCACAAAATTGTATGTAGAGTGAGAACACAGTGGGAAGAAGTCAGAGTGCACATAAAGTCAGACAGCAGGGGGCGCTGTCCTGCTGTTTTCTGAGGACGGGAATTTAGGGACTTAATTTTCTTTTTCAAAAACGAACGTTTATACTTTTTTAAGATAAAAACATTGTTCTCAGGGCTGGAGAGATTGCTTAGTGGGTAAAGGAACTTGCTGCAAAGCCTCATGGCCCGAGTTCAGTCCCTGAACCCACATGATGGAAGGAGAGAACTGACTCTCTTCAGCAAGTTGTCCTACACATGCTATGGTCCATGTATGCCCATACCACACACATGCGCACGTGTGTACACACACACACACACACACACACACACACACACACACACACACACACCACATGGATAATTTAAATTCAAACAAACGTTGCTCTCAGGACCATTCAACACAGACTGTGTGCACGTCATCACAATATTCAGGGCATGTGGGACAGAGTTCTGGAGTCCCCACTATAAGTTCCACTTTGACCTTCTCCCACTTGCCTGGAGATAGGGGTCTGACCACTCTACTTACTGTGTTTACTGGCAGTGTAAAGTTCAGTGAAAAACTCTGCAAGAGAGAAAGAAACATTAAAACTTCCAGGAATGGTTAGCAACCTCCCGAACCTCTGCCTCCAAGTCTTGGCAACCCTGGCAAAGGCGAACTGAACCCAGAGTTGGGCTCCACTGGTGCGTATCTGTTCCCAGTGTCAGCCTAAGAACAGTCAATACAGGAGCCTGGGGTACTGGAGAGCTGTGCCAGTGGTGATGGGCTTCCCTTCTCCCCCTCCAGCTCTCAGCCGGGGCTGGACTGGGGGCCTCATCAAAACACTGGAAGTGGTTTTCTCCCAGAATGCCTTCCAAGGGGAGAACTGAGAATTTAGAAACATTACTTAGTAATGTTTTCAGCCTAAATCAGATCAGCTCCCCCAAAGGGTATGATGTAACCCCTGACTATTAGCCACCTTCTCGGGAGAGTTAGCCAGAGAGAGATGAGGCTGCGTGTTTTACCAAGGCTGAGCTGAGGCTTCGGCAGTGAGCTGATCCAGTCAGGGTAGCAGGGAGCTGGACTTACCCCTCTGTACCTGGTGTATCCCTCCTCATTGTGTGTAATCAACATAAAACTTTGCACCCCACAGCATACCAAATTTCCTGCACACACCTCTTATCAGGGTAAGGTCTTGCCAAGGCCATTGGTGGTTCCTTTCTGCTCCCTCATCCCTGCCCATCATTCGGGCTTGGGCTGATTGGCACATCTTTCCAGGCTGCTCTACCCAGTCCTTTCCCTGCTGCTGGGAGCCTCTGTGGACCCTGCTGTCCCTTAGCCAGTGGCCTTCCCTGGCCCTGTGTCTTCTCTCTACCTCCTGGACTTTCATCCACCTTACTCCTGGTTCCTGGCTGGCCCCTCCTCTAGTCCCATCTCCTGACATCTTGGTTCTTCCTGCCTTCCCCCCTCCAGCTCTTGATCTCCCCCACAGCCCCCCAAGACTGGGTCTGTCACTCAATCAGCAACACATTTGCTAAATTTTAACATTAAATGTTTTCTGACAATGGAAATACTGGGGTGGGAACAGAAAGATGACTCAGCAGCTAAGAGCACTTGCCACACAAGCCTGATGACCTGAGTTCCATCCCTGGGACCCACATGAAGGGGAAGGAAAGAACCAACTCTACAAAGGTGTCCTCTGACCCGCACATACCTACCATGGCATGAGCACACCTCCTTCCCCAAAACAGAAATAATGGAAGAAATTAAAGCATCCCAAAGAATGGGAATAATTTGGGCCTGAAGTGCCTCAAAGGTCATTTTATATCCCAGGAGTTCGCTGCAAGGGATAGAAGAATGAGACCCAGGAGCTCATGAGAAGTCATGTCATGAACAGGTCAGGACAGTTTGAGCTCCTTTCTGGGACCGGGTTCAACCCAAGACTGAATCCAGATCAGACAGTCCAAGGCTGGGTTTAGATTACAGAGTCCTACATGTGCAAAACCAAGAAAATTGATCACCTGTGGGCTGGAAGTCGCATGGGCTAAAGAACGGGAAAGTCCTTGGAGAGTATAAAGTGTTTTAAGAACCTATAACCTATGCCTCTCCCGACTCCACCCTAAAGAGTACATCCGTCATTAGGACAGCCCCTCACGTCAGTGACTTTGTCCACTGCTCCGCCACTGATTAACAATACAGTTTCCCTTTACAGAGCAAGCACCCAAGGCCCAAGCAGGTGAATGGGGCATCACACAGCGAAGTCAGCTGTCACGAGAACTGAGTCCTCTGCTGACATTTCCCTAGCACACCACAGGGCTTCCCTGCAACCCCTCGGTTTCTGCAGGTGAATCAATATTCCTCCTCTTCTTCTGGGCCGCTAGAACCAGGGTGGCATCTGGGACTCCCAGATAAGGGTCTCCTGGCCCAAGGGCTCCAACCTTTCCTGCTGACACTACCCGAGCCTACAGGTGCCCCAAGGGCACTTGCTAATCTCTATGGTGTATGCAGCTGTAGAGACTTATCTCATCAGTGATGATGTCAGCGGGCCACAGACAAAGCTTCCTTTGGGAGACTCGGGAGAAGAGGGCTGCGAACAACAAGTGGGCCTTTGCGTGCATTGTTTATCAACATGAAGATGACGAAAGTTTTGGCCACTTTCAGAAAGACTTTCATATTTTGCAGAAACACAGTGCCTTGCTGTAGTGGAGAGGAAAGGATGGCATGGTGCCCTCTAGAGGCGCAGCTGGGTGGCGTGGAGCAACCCTGGGCTCTGAACCGCATGATCTAGGTTTGGGTACAGCCTTTGCTGTGCACTTGGAAGTTGCATGGTCTTGGAGAAGACAAACTTTCTGGCCTCCGTATCCTCACAGCCCCTTTGTCCTACCAGGCTCAGTTTTTCCATTCTGGAAATGGGATACTGCTCGGTGGTTCTGCCCACTTCACAGGAAAACCTCAAGGGATATACTGTGGCAGCTCCTTCCAACCTGCAAATGGTCCCGGCAGGATTGTTAGCACCAAGCGGTCATAGCCAAAGGATCTGAATTATGGATGTCACAGCTATGGAATGTTTCTAGAGGCCTCTGCCCTCTTCTGAGGCTGAGTATCCCTCGTGGGTTTAACGCTTATGAAGGGGAAGCGGAAACAGGACAGTCACACCATTAACTCTCTTCTGATGACTTCCCATAGGACAGAGCTGTTATCCCTGCAGCCCAGGTGTGGAAACCTGGACCAAGGCGGGGTTCCTTCCAGAGGTCCGTGGTAAACAGTCACAGGGTTTCCTAACTCCTGTGACTTCTCGTCACTTCTCTTTAAGTTTTGCGTGAGATCTGCAAGAGTTGTGCCTGACATACCTCTGTCAGCACGATGCCCTCCAACCCCTCAAGGTGTGGCAAAGCTCAGGATCTTCTCCACAAGGGCTGGATAATGTTCATTCGGGAATATCGTATGTATATACATACACATATATATTGAATATATACTTGGTATAAGCGCTCCATCATTTCGTTAGTCACTCATCCAATGGCAGTCACCTGGGTTATTTTCAGGAAAGTTCACAAATTTTAGTGGCGTTGGACCAGAGATGCTCCAGCACACAAACCACTTCAGTATACTCTTCAACAACTTGATCTTGGTTCAGAATGACTCTGAAATTATCATATTAATGAAAGAGTTGATCCCTCATCTCAACTCAACCCCTCTGAGACACTCCATTGAAACAAATCTAATTCCCAGTAGTGAGGCACTAAATAAGCACAATTTGGCAAGACTTTGGCTTCTATTGCTTACCTTGTGTTTTTTCTCCTAGAATAAGTAAATAATAATAAAAATAATAACTAGGGGTTATAAATGAATGTTCATAACCAAAGTCATCCTAGCTTTTAAATTGCACATACTATTTATTACATGTTATATACCATTACATATTTTATTCTATATATTATATACAAGGCCGTTTTCATATAAACATGTAATGTACTTGAGCATGCCCCGTCACCCACTCTCTTCCCCTTTCATCTCTTCCAGACAGTTTCACTTCTGCTTTCAAGTCCATATATGTGTGTGTATAACATATGTGATCAGTATGTAAGGTCACTCATGTATTTGGGTGTATATACACACTCATATATATGTGTACATGCATATGTACATATACATGAGTGATTTTTATGTGTCTATAAAGTCTAGGACTTGCACACAGAAAAAAGAACCCACAGAAGCCTGCTGATTTCTCTCTTGGTTGAGCAAACTTCCCCTGACTGAGTCACACCAAGTGTGTACCACACATCAGTAGGAAAGGTGGAGAGCTTCTGGTCCACACTGCTGAGAAAGCAGAAGGCAGACGACTGAACAACTAAAGACAAGATCACTGATCCGAACCCAAGGCTGAACGAGATGAGATCACCACATATGCAATGAAATTTTTTAAATTAGTATTTTGTACCTAGGGAAAAAAGCCAAGCTCCAGGACTTCATTGTAGGAAAGGTACAGCTATAGGTATTGAACTGGGAGACTTGAGCCTTAACGTCTTGGAATTGTTTACAGCGAGAGAAAGAAAGGTCAAGCTAAGAAAGATGCTCTTACTCACCATTTCTAACAGGCTCCCTTGGCAAGCTTCTCTGTCACTGGCACTGTCGGCCAGTGTCTCCCGTTTGCTGGGAATGCTGGGGAGGCAGGGCTAGAGGTAGTCCCAGGAAAGCCCTTGCTACGCCATGTATGGTCAGAGGAGTAGCCAAGCCCTCAGCTGACGAGCTTCTGTCCCCTGCACACCGCACGTGGCTTGAGCCTTCCTTCTCTTTGTCTTTATTTCCTGTCCTTTTCACTGCGCAGCAAAGAAGCCACAAGCTAGTGTGAGAGTTGGGAGCTCTGGCAGCTGGCAGCTCGTTAGAAACAATGGGTGACAGGGCTGGAGAGGAGGCTCAGGAGTTGAGATCACATACCACTCCTGCAGAGGTCTGGAGTTCGGTTCCTAGCATTCCCTTTAGACAGCCCACAACTGCCTGTAACTACAGTTCCAGGGGACCCTACATCTTCTTCTGACTTCTATGGACACACACACACCACACACACACACACACACACACACACACACACACA